TCTGTAATATGCTTAGTACTTGGCACTTGACAAAGCTAGCTAGGAAATGGCTTACCTGATATGCCCTTCATGTTGCTAAGTTGCAGGGTTTCGCTCTCTTCCTCTCCGTTTGCACCGGTCTGCTCCCAAACATGGTCGAAGCTGCCTGCAAAAGTGGGAATAACGTAATCGCTGCCTGTGAGCTCCAGATCTTCAACCTGGTACTCGTCCTCATATCCACTGTCCTCAGGCTCACCACTCGTAGGATCGATCTCCTTGCTGGTGAACTTCAGAATATTCGTAAATGATGTGACCGGTACGCTGTTCTCGCCAGCAAGTTTCTTGAACGTAACATATACAATGCCGGGTTCATTCGTAGCAAGCTTGGGGGCGGGCACAATGAACTCCTCTTCCAAGACATCTTCCTCGGAGGGCGTCGCTACAACAGTGACATCTTCTAGAACAGTATCCGGCAGAGTGTTCTTGATATCGTACTGCAGGACAATATGTTCCTTGAAGACATGCTTGACCGCTGTGACGACGTACTCCGTTTCGCTCTCGGTGAGCTCGACAGGAACGGAAGATTTGAGCAAGGTACCGTACTCCTTGAGCTCTGGAATCCGCATAAGCTCCTCGGCGTACTTCTGGGTGGCAGCAACGGTCGCAGCCTCGGCAACACCATTGGCCTTGCTCTTCGGAGGACCAGTGGATGGAGCCTTGAGTGTAGGGGTTGCAGTAGTGAGTTTCTTGGTCCGTTCTTCGGCCAAGGCTTGCTCCTGAGTAACAACTGGGACCGTAGAGACGTCGAAAGCCGCGGCAAAGGTTTCTTTCTCTGTCGATGTCACATACATCACGAGCTGGTGCTCAAATGTGGAAAGAGAGTACATCGAGTCTAGATCCGTCAGCAAACACTACAGGCCATAGGTTTCATCTGCTAAGCTTACCGTTCTTAAGGAAAAGCGACGCTGTCTCATCCTCCTCGGCCATGAGACGGAGGTTGAGAGCAGCACGATCACGCACTTCATCATCAGTGTCATCAAGACAGCGTGTGAGAAGTACAGAAACGCTTGACTTCACTTCTGGGTCCTTCTGTCCAACGCCAAACTTGGCCAAGGCCGTCACAGCAGCAGCTCGTACAATTGCATTCTCCAAGACGACTCGGTTGTAAATATAGCGAATGTACTTGGTAGGATGGGAAGTCTTTGGGCCTTCTACACCAAGAAGGTGCAGAACCCGAACGGACAGTTTGGTGAATTCACAGTCTTCAATGAACTCACAGAGGTGGGCGAGAGCTGATTTAGGTTAGCATTACGAAATTCTCAAATAGTACGGGAAAGCCTACCATCTTCCCTACTCTCGGGAACGAATTTGATCAAATCAAACATGCTCTCGACAACGCTCCGCTTAAACTCATATCCACCCTCATCCCGCAGAATGCCGCTCAGGAATGCAAGCATGCCGGCCTGCTTGCTGGGGAACTTCAGACACAGCGTGCGAATAGCCTCAACAATAGTAATCTTGAACTCGTCGGTAATATCAGCCATGAAGCCAGAGATCTGCTTCATCAGACGGTCGACACTGGCCTCGTTGCCAGTCTTGAGCAGCGTGGTAATAGCGAAGGTAGCAATGGAGCGGTTGGAGTTCGAGATCAACGATTCGATGTCAGGGTTGCAGACGTTCACCACATGGGGCTTGAATGTTGCGAAGTTATGGAGGATGCGGATAGCTGCGAACTTGGTAATCGCCCGGGGAGAGGACAGGAACAATTGCAGGACATGGACAGCCTGAGAGGCCTCGGCATCGGTAACATCTCTCATATCGCAAATAGCCTTTGCCGCCTCGAAGTTGACCATTTCGTGCTTGTGTCGGAGCCAGCCATCAAGCATCTGCATCATAGGCTTTCTCAAGCTCTGGTCTTCTTCTGCCAACTTCGCTGCTAACCGCACCAGTAGGACCAGGGCAGCCGGGCTCTTGATCACTCCAGCAGCACCATACTGCTGAACCATCTTCACAAGAGCCATACGATCGTGCGAGCGCATCTGATAGAGAAGGCCAATTGCGTGGTATTGTGTCATGAAGTTCGACTGCGAGATGGCATGGGTAGAGCTGCCGCCAAATCCAAGGAATCCAGTCGATTGCTTTCCGGACGATGCTGCTTCCTGTGTTTCACTCTGCCATCTGCGGACAACATCACGGGCGATCGGGAGGAGGTGGTACGAAGAGACCAGGGCGGCGGAGGAGACCGAGGGGGTCTTGTCAACAATTGCGGTCTTAATCAAGCGTTCAATGCCTTGCACAGTCGTGGCCTTTTCCAACAACAATTAGCTCACACTCAGCGATGGGAGAGTTGGCAATGCGCTTACATCAATGATGCGGCACAGAGCACGGATAGCGTTTGCCCGGTAGAGCACATCGCTACCGACGGCGGTGTCTTTCATGATAATGCTAGTCGACATGATAACATCCTCCGCAGTGTTGGCAAGCTCTTTCAGGACGAGATAAACCATTTGCCGCAGCGATGGGTCTTTGTTCTGGAACAACTTCGAAATACCGAAAAACAGGGTAGTCGCCTCGTTCGTGGGGAATTGCTCCCCGGTGAAAAGGAGGACCGCAATCTTGGTCAGAAGGGTACGACATTGTCGCGGAGAGATCGGTGAGGTGTTGAACAATCGGGCTAGAAGCAGGTAAATAAGGAAAATTAGCCCACAAGGACCCTGTACACTCAATGCGACTTCGGGGGGATTGTTTATGATAGTCCCTTACCATCTTGGAAGACGGAGGTCCGATCCAGCTTGATCATGGTCTGGTCGGCGTCCTCATCTTTCTTCATGTAGCTCATGATGGCGGGCTGCGGTAATTGCAGCAGCTGAGACTCTATCTCACACTCTGTATATGGGAACTAGACCCCGTTGAAGTGACGTCGGAGTAAATGATCGAGTAAGGGCGGGTCAGGTCCCAATGTTTAGTTGTAGTGCAGGCGGTGAAACAGCGATTAGCGCACCCTCATTATCTTCCAGGAGAAACAGGGGAACGGGGAGGGAGCGGTAATGGGGACGAGGTTGGGTGGAGGATATGCGAAACCCGTCCCAGGGAAGAATGAATGGATGTTCTGCCAAAGCGTCGGACGAGGAGGTCCAGATGGCATCCAACAATCTCCAGGTGGCCTTAGTCTACTTAGTCCTTCCGCGTCTGTGGGCTTAAAGCCACCGTGGCTGACACTGCAAACTATGCAAACATGCGGCATTCATCATCACCGTTTTGAGATCGTAAATATATGGTTGACTGATACTTCTTTCTACTCACTTGGTTTGCCTCTTTTTTCTGACTAGATATTCTCTATTTCAATCATTGTGCTCTGCTATACATTGTTCCACCATGCAAGTTGAAGTCAACCCCAACGAAGATACAGAATGGTCCGCCTCTGCGTCCCCACCATATTCCCACCCCATACAATCTTAATACTCACCCCGCCGCAGGAACGATATTCTCCGCAAACACGGAGTTATCCCGGAGAAGCCTCAGGACCCTGAACCTCTCATTCAAGAGGCCCTTGTTGAGGCGGAGCGCAAAGCCTACGAGAACCGACTAGAAGATAAAGATTTGGACGAACTAGATGAGCTCGAGGACGAAGAGGATGAAGAGTTCCTTGAACAATATCGGTATGGCGCCGCCGACGTTTGCGGGCTTCATATGGGCGAAATCCGATCGCTAATAATAAATGCAGAAAGCAACGTCTTGCAGAGCTCTCTACGCTCCAGAAAACCAGTCTATACAACCAAGTTTACCCTCTTCAGAAGGTCGACTATGGAAGAGAGGTGACGGAGGCATCCAATAACGCCTTTGTACTAGTGCATCTGTCCTCGTCCTCGAGTGGCAATGTTGAGTCGCAGCGCTTGACGGAGCTATGGCGGCAGTTGGCTACTAAATTTGGCGACATCAAGTTCTGCGAGATTCGCGGCAATATGTGCATTGAAGGGTATCCTGAGAGAAACACTCCAACAATCCTAGTGTATAAGGATGGCGAGATAAGAAGACAGCTCGTAACACTCAGGGAACTGAAGGGTCCTAGGACGACGATTGAAGGTAAAGTCAACCCCTTATTCATCAGTGGAGAGCTTTGCTCTATATGGTGTCAAGTGTCGGTATTAATTTCAACCTCGATAGATCTCGAAAGGATGCTCCTAGACTTAGGCGCCCTTAAGGAGAGTGATGTGCGTTTGAAGAAGCGGTCCGACGACTCAGATGACGTTCGTCCATCGAAGATAAAACAGTCCCGGGTAGACGATGACGATGACGATGACGACTGGGACTGAAGGCTACTATAATGGTACTGCAACAATAGATGACATGATCCCCTATCGCTCATGAGTAACAGTTCTTAATGTGCACTACCTCTGTGCATTGTCTTCCAAGCTTCTCAATCAACCCACATCTGGCATGTACTGTTATTTGTATTGTTAATGGTTACTAAGCAGCCAACTGGTCCTGGAGACCTACTGCTTGTACAAAACATCCATTCCAGAGAACCATTTCCATTGTCCATGCATTTATATGGACATTTCGAGATCCAGGAAAAGCGTCGACAGATGTACAAAGTCCTCGACACGTATATGCTGGATGACATCGATTTTATTCTCATACACAAAATGAAAGGGCTTAACGGGATAGTTTCCCTTTTAACTCGGAATATAAATTAAAGTAACACATCGGTCTCTAGATAGTATCCTAGGTCTCCTCAGCCATTGGTATTCTAGTTCGGCCATTGGCATCTCAAGAGCACCGGGATGATTGGAGAGACGAGAGACACTGGTTATATATGTATGAATGTATATACGCTAGGTCAAAGGTGGTATCATTTGCATTATCAATAGTCATCCGCATTTCAAAAATACGGTTCTATCTGCATTCCAATTGGAGATGGCACTGAGCTAGAGACACACCACCGAGAGGTATGCAGTATTTCAGGAAAGAAAAGGTAGAAGAAGTGAAGGCAAAAAGAAGAAAAGAAAAGAAAGAGATATCGACAAGGACGCGATTTGAACGCGCGACCCCGAAGGGATAAGATAACATCCATTGCGGATTCAAGTCTTACGTCTTAACCACTCGACCACCTTGCCAAAGATGAAGAATTTTTGCGAGATTCTCGTAAAATGAGAGGCATACCTACTTGCGGATAAAGGATAGGGTCATTGAAAAAATAACACCAAAATATCATTGCCCAGAGAAAGGTAGCCGTCATGAGATTTATAGTGATGAAAATGAAGTGGGTCCTTTAAATGACCAATAAGGGTTTACAACCTGCGATTAGCGACGTAAGAATAGACATGTTGGATGACTTTTGGAGCACATCCCTGTGAGGGTAAGTAAAAAGATATCGACAAGGACGCGATTTGAACGCGCGACCCCGAAGGGATAAGATAACATCCATTGCGGATTCAAGTCTTACGTCTTAACCACTCGACCACCTTGCCTAGAAGATAGGGGTTTTGGTTGAGCTTCGCTATGAGTAAAAATAACAATAACTTCGAATGAACAACATTCCAACGTACAATTTGGGGAGGAAAAGGGTTCATGTGTTTGTTCTTTTCTTCTTTTTGGAGGAACCGAGCTTAGCTGTCTCATAGTGTTAAGTAACTATGTAGGTATCTCGTCGTGCTTAGATTTTGTACGTAGGACACCTCTCTTAGCAAAAAAAACCATTCCATTGGTATATTCTGCTGCTCTCCTTCCCAAACTCATTCAGAAGCATGGATGTTTTCAGCTGGCGTACTCAGCTCGAGAACTTCATCCGCCTGTGCTTTCACAGGGGAACTCTTCGCTTTCTTCGCCTTCTCTGCCTTAGCCCTCCACAACCGAATCTCGGGTCCGGAGGAGCTTTCTATTTGCCTGGTGGAATGCTGGCATGCTTCCTTTATTCATAGAATCCATCCCTGAAACAAAAGGTGAAACGATGCCAATTCCCACACATGTAAAGGGCCTGACCACAACCGGATGAAATGAGCTGATCTGAATGGTGGCCCCCTGTGATACCACATCATTCACAGACAGGTGGATCGGGCTGTGGGACATGATAGATATTCGAGGCTCAATAGTAGGAAGGACTGGTTTTCAGTTGGTAAGGAATTGGGCGCAGAGGTCACGGCGGTGCGTTTCCTATCAGGCATTTAGCATTCAGTTAGTTGCCTCTCACTCGCACTCAACCGTTGTATATGTTGGCGAGGGACGGATTCTTTACCCAGAGTCCTTTTGCTCTCCGATTTTGTCGTGCAAGAGAAAAGGGGTGAGTCCGCGGCGCAGGTGGGTAGAGAAGATGAGGATCTGGGAGATGTCTGGTCCTCAAGGGCCGCCTACACGTGGGAAATGCAGCCGTAAACGGCCTCGGTAGCGGTCGTTTTTAGCATCAGTTACACAGTTCCTCGTATTCTATTTATAAGAATCTCCCAAGTTCCAGCAGGATGTGATATAACAAGCATTATGACCGTGAACCGAATACGCCAATCAACTAGCGCCATAAACATACCGTACCCAAATCCGAAAGAGCAAGCATCACATCGTAGAATTCAAAACTCAGAGAAGGTCATCATCATTAGCAGCCGCGCTTTCTTCGATTGCCTTGAGCACCTCAGCCTCGGGGAAAGCAGGGCCTTGTCCATCACACTGAGTGATGTTCTTCAGTCGTTCCGAGACGTCTTTGATGTCTACTAAACCGCGCTTGAATAGCTCATGCCCTTGGATTAGGTCCCACGTAGCGCCGGCACCGAGCAATTTCTCCCCTGTCTTCGCGCAGGTCGACACTCGATGGAGACGGGATGGCTCGCCCTTTGGTACCAGCTCGGAGTAAAAATCTGTGGGTGTATATTTCAATGGCCCTGTCGTGGTTGGCTCGTCTGAGTGGTTGTGTGTCCGGTCACCGGAGCCCGATGTTGCCCGCAGGATCTCATTCTCTGTTGTAAACCGGGCTAACTCCTGCTTCAAGCGTTCGTTATCTGCCACTAAGTTGGATGATGCTTGCTCGAGGTTGTTAACCTTTTCCTCTAACTCTCGCACATGTCGCTCCTTTCGTTCACGAAACGCGCGTTGACTGCCGCACCGAGAGAAGAACATTAGTCGGGCCGGTTACCCCCCACCAGGAAATTGGTCGCTTTCTTGCGACAAAAACTCCAAAGGTGTTGAACCTACGCTGCTCTGTTTTGTGCCTTGCGCTTTGATTGCGCGGGAGTCATAGAATCCTTTTCCTCGCTACTACTCCGACCAAAGCCTGGTTCTCCATCTAATGACGTCGGCTCGGTCGGCTGGCCGAAAATGTCACTTCCAGAGGCGGAATGCTTCGAGAAGGACTCGGGGGGAGAGTGTGGCGGATGTCCGAACGATGCGGCGGGGTTCTGGAAGCGAAAGGAGGGGTCGAAGGACTGATAACTCTGTATCCCCTTACCACGGTCAGTGAAACAGGACTCAGCTTTAGTCAATCAATAAGAGGAGTGCGGACCAACGAGGCGAGAGTATCCTGGATGTCATCGGTCTGTGGGTTTCGATGTTGGTTGTCATCGTCGTTCTGACCGAGGGTCGGCGCCCCTTGCAGGTTGTATAGAGAGAACGGTTGGGATTGGGGATTGGGATAGTATGGGTACTCCATCTCTTAGGTTGTTGAACGATTTCTTGAACATACAGTAGGTGGATTTGAGAAGGAGCATACGCCGCGATCGCAAAATAAGTTCGGGCCTAAAAAAGCCGGGGGTGGGCATTGGCCTTCAATTTATCCGTGTATTTTTTACCCCTCGTATTACATGACTTCCATTTCCTTTGTTACAAGTACTTAACTAGGTATTGATATACATACAATTTTACTTCAGTATTCCCTACAGGTTGTGTTGATCTCCATCCGACCCCGTACAGATCTTCCACTTACATGCTCAAGAGTCAAAGCTGTGTTTTGTTAGGTCCAGTCTAGCCGCCAATCTCCGATGATGCCCAGATAAAAATAGCAATCCAGTTGACACCCCCATATCTTACCTACTGCTGTAAGGGCCCAAAGGTAGGTGCTTACCTGCGATAGACCCCTACTCATAGTATATATTAAGTACAGTAAGAGTACCTAGGTTCGTACCCGCTTGGGTCGGCTCGAAACCAAGCCAGGATCTGAAAGCGACAGGGGAAAAGAACCTCTCACGAGAGAAAGCTGGCTACGGAGTAGGATCATTCAGGACCATCAAATAACTTGAATTATATGTCGAATACAAGACAGGCTCATTCGAAGAAACCCCAACCGCTCCTCCTTCACGAGGACCGGCGCCATTGGGTTTCAGTTGTCCAGCGTCCCCTTGCAGCCCGGTGACCTTCGAATGTTGTCCAGTCTTCTTCACATAACAAGAGAGCGAGAGCAACAGAAAACATAAAATACCACAAAGGAAACAATCTCGCATGACGCAATACCTCCCCGGAAGCGACCCTAGCTATTTTCCGTCGCCAGTTACCGATCGTAGAGACGTGCTTTCTTAATGTCCAAATCATCGTGTGCAGTACCACCCGTGCCATCCAGTTCTCGTACGGCATGTTCAAGTATTGAACCTTGACTCTTGGACATCAAAAAATAACCACCCCCACACATCTTCACGTGTCATACCTTCATACTCATCGTCCCCAATGTTGCGTCAATAATAAAATAATAACAGTCTGGAGTGCTGGAATGTGCAAAAAGGAGATCAAAAGACAATTGCAGAGTAAGGGCAGGGAAAATGAAACAAAACAACGAATGATATGTCCGAAGGTCTTCAGTGGCAAGCATCAACTGAAAGATACCCCTCGTTCTGCCGACAGACAGAAGATTTTCATTTTGCACCTCCTTCGGTCTAACCCTCCCGGTCGGTTTCGAAAGATGGCTTAGAGATCCTGCACAAATATGACAACCGAGGAGGGATGACGTAAAATAGCCACAGTAATAGCGTTTTGTTTCTTTCTACCTAGGACTTCCCAGGTGCAGATCGATTGTAATGTTTCCGAGTACGCAGTCAAGTGTTCGATTGCGGAAACTCAGGCACGATAGGGAAGACCAGATAAACCAATAGGCAGATCGGGGCAAAACGCGACAGATCGAGACGGCGGAAACCGGAAGACGATCGAAAACGGGATGACGGGCTAACAGAGAATGCAATGAAGTAAAATAAGAAAAAGAAAGAATGGAGACCCAAGGCGAAAGAAGTCGGAAGATTTGCTGCAGGTGGCAGGTTACCAGCATCACGATGCTCTTGGGTTCTTCAAATAATGGGATGTCAACATGCAGGAAGCCAAAACTATCAAGGGAGAACAGCTGAGCTACCCTGCCATGTTGCATAATTAGTACCACTGAGCACCGTATCCATCGTCCCGCTTCGAGCGGCTACCGGTAGGTCCATAAGCACCTGAAGCAGCAACCTTGGAAGCAGAACGCAGCCTAACGCCGAAGACTATGAGATTAGTCAGATTCTAGGATTCAAGGCGACCTCTACGTGCGGGGTCAAGGCAAATCACCAAGCACAGAGGAAAGGGGTTCCCTACACGGAACCTAGGTTTCAGATACTCACATCCTGTCACTCCCTCCCACAGCACGGTTGGTGTCGGGGGTGTCGAGAGTTCCACGTTCGATGACCTTGCGGCGCTGGCTTGAGATAGCACCAGGCTTAGCAGCAGCACCGGGGGTGCCCATCGGTGCGGCAGCTGCCACGCCTTGACGGCGCTGCTGTTCCTCCGCTTCCTTGTCCTTCTTGTTGCTGGCATCTACAATCATCGCGGCATTCTTCTGGTACTTGTAGACGGTCCAGTCGAAAACGTAGTCATACTGGAAAGACTCGCGGACGAAAAGGTCACGGAAGATCTTGCGAAGGTACGAGTAATCGGGCTTGTCATCGAAACGCAGGGAACGGGTGTAGTTCAAGTAGATCGAGAATTCGTTGGGGAATCCACGGCAAAGGACCTCAGTGGGCGTGGTCATCTTCTTCTCCATGATGCGGTCATATTTCTGCTTCTTCGTGGCAGCCTTCAGTCCCTGCCAAGGGAGAGTGCCACGGCAAAAGTAGAGCATGACGTATCCCAAAGACTCCATATCATCACGGCGAGACTGTTCAACACCCAAGTGAGTGTTGAT